ATGTTATTTCACCTGAACTACTTATTCTGTTATTTTGAGATATTTGGCATGGCATACTTATGAATATCATTTCTAAGCATGGTTTTGAGATATGTATATGTATATATGCATTCTATTTTCTGGAAAATTATACAGGTTTTACGGCGAAGGGTTAGAACTTTTGCTAAATGACATGATTTTGAAAAGCTTTGTTTTTACCCACTCACACTTTCTGTTTTGCGCCCCTCCAGGTTCTAGTTAGGAGTACTTGTTGGTGGCTTACGAGGAATTCACCGTAGCTCTAACAGATTATCACCAATGTAGAATTATCTTTGATGTTGTATAATTAGTATTCGTCATGCTGGATTGCACTTAGGCTACTTATGCTCTGATTGTGAACTCATGTTTATTCTCGTCTTGCACCTTACTTTATCTAGTGCTCTAGTTAGTTGGTTTTTATTTATTCGCATTTCCTTATCTTTATTGCTTCCGCACTGTGCTCATAGCTACGTTACCTCATGTGACAGCCATCATGCCTCGATCTGGGTCGGGGTGTGTCATTATTTGTATTTGTACCCATATTTTTTTATTTATTTGTACCCATTTTTATTTTTGCTGAACTAGAACGTATTCTGTGCACTCTAGACATTTCCTTAAACTTTGTTTATTACTTTTATATTCTAATGATTATTCACGTATATTTCCTCTTAATCATTACTCCTATATTCAATAAATGGCTTTCGTCACTCTTGGGTGTCGCCTAGCACGTGCCTATCCGGGTATTCAGAGAATATGCGGTCCAAATCTATGAATATTCTTTGACTGAAACCTTGTGGTTTTCAATTTTTGATCCAAGTCCCTGAAATTAATGCGATAATTTATTTCTATGTACGTTACTATATTTTTTAAATTAAAAATTTATATTTATATTTGTTTATATTAATGAGATTTTAAATAAAAAACCATAATTTGTGGGATTAAAAATATTAAAATATAAATATACTATTGTGTGTGTGTGTATATATATAAACATGGGTACATTCTTCAAAATCACCAAAAAGAGAGAGAGAAGATATTAGGCTTAATAATATTAATAAATTTCTTCAATTAAGCTTAACATGGATACATTCTCAAATCAAAGAAAAAAGAATGTACCCATATAAGTTTAAAAATGGATTAGAAAAAAATTGAATAGATTTTATATATAAAAAAAGGGTACATTTTACATATAACAAATTGGTATATTTAAGAATGAGTACATTTTAAGATTAAAATTTTGAAAAAAATACATGAATGGGTACATATAATTAGCATGGGTACATTTAGCAAAAATAAAAATGGGTACAAATAAAAAAAATATGGGTACAAATATAAATAAAACTTTAAAAAGTATGGGCACAAAAAGAAATTAATATATGGCTACAAATAAAAACTGAAAAGAAAATTGATATAAATTAAAAATGGGTACAAACTAAAAATAAAAATATGTGATAAAAAATTTAGCCATAAATATATATATACTAATTGTAACATTTTTAACATTAAATGAATATATTTAGAAAGAAAAAATATTTTATTATTGAAATAATTAATAATGTTATTAATACAACGAATCTTGATCAAAAATTGAAAAGAAATAAAATTTTAATCAATAAAGTAGTAAAAGTAAAAATGAGAACCTAGTTTATCTATAATTTTTATATTTGCTTGTGTTACTGACACGGAACGAAATGTAATGCAATTAAAAATTGTTGTGATTGATGGGGTGATTGAATTGCGTCTGAGGGTGTGAGGAGCTTCTCCAAGGTTGTACCTGGACTTAATGCCATTTTATTATCTTCGTTTCTGTTGAAATCTTGTACTTACAGATAAGACCAGTGTACTATGCATAGATTCCTGAATAGTTACAAGCGCATTAACACCGACAAAAAGTTTTTGTTGACTTGATTTAGGATAACTCAATCTTTATTTAATGTAATAAATATATGTTAGTGGGTAGATTAAGTAGGGTTAACTTAATGAGTTCATTCATTCTAGTAATGATGCATTAATTATGATTAATATTAAGAGGGAGTTAGAGCTTTTATAAAAGGTAATGTTAGAGAAACTAAATTTGTAGATAAAATTTTAGAAACTAAAGATCATGAAAGTTGATTATTGATTTATTACTTAAACGTTGATAAACGTATTTATTCTTATTGGTGACATATTATTTACTCCGCAAATTTAGTCTCTCTAGCATTACCCTTTTATAAATTGAGTATTTTGTGTTCTAGAAGGAGGAGGAAGATTATGATGAATTGAGTTGTAAACTGAGTGCAGTTTGAGGGAGCTTTTTCATTCTTGTTGTTCTATCCACTCGGATATCCTAACGACATTAACGAGGAATAGACACTCCAACGATCATTGGTCATTCTCGCTCAAAAAATCAACAAAGTGTGTGGTAAATTTCTTGGCATTGTTGGTGAATCGACAAGAGGTTTAGGACTTGTGAAGTTTGGTATTGTCCTTGACAATCAACGAATCCACAAGGAAAAGTTACGAAGTTCGTGTATTTTTGTTTTATCATCAATTCTCCAATTGAGGATTGGTATCCAGATTTATCAATCAACCAATTCGCATTTTGGTCGCCGCATCACTGCTATTAGGGGCCATTACAATATTCAGGTATAAGATTTTGAGTTTTTGCTATTTCACTCCTTTCTATAGTACTACTTCACTCAAGTCTAGAGTATGAGTATCATTTGTTAGAATCAGTTATTCACGTGTAATGACAGATTCAAGAAAATTTTATTTTATAAGCAAAATAAAGGCCGAACCCGCTTTTTTTCTCAGTTGGTTCCTTACCATGCATCGGCCTCTTTTGAGGTATTTTATCCGACATCTTGCTTCGATGATAGCCATGATAAAAAATAACACTAATAGTGAAGATTAAACATTTTCATGTGTAATAATAATGAGGTTAGGATAATCACACACTCGCCCTAGTTTGGATCCACCGCTGTAAACATGTGGTGTTTAATAATCATTCATGTAAAGTGAAACTTATGTGTTTTACAATATTAAAATATTATTCTTCCAACAGTCACCACGTAAATAATTATCCCATTACTCAGTTATAGGTAAGTTTTTCTTGTTGATGCAGATCTATTTGGTAAGTTTCACATCCATCAATAGTTCGTGGGGATTCCACACCAAACAATGGCTCATAGCATATGATCATCGAAAAGAAAAAAAAAGGAATGGTTGATGGAATAAGTTTCAAACTAATCAATGGCACGCTATAATTTCATACCACAAAACAAAAATATATGCTTACATACTAGTGGTATGATATCGGAAATGATTTTTGCACATGTATTTTTATGGAAAGTGTCATTAGCATTTTTAAATTTTCATTCTACACTATTTACAAGTGTATTTTTCATTCTAATTATAGAAAGTTCAGAGTGCAAAATGAGATTTTTTTAGTACCAATAACAGTTCCTTTTTTTATCTCTATTTTTAATTTTTGTTTGCTTTATTTAATTTAGAGATAAAAATAAACAAGAGTGTGCACTGGTAAAAAAAAAGTGAGTTAAAATCATTTTTTGTATAGTATACTCTATATTCTATCAATTGTAATGTAAGTTATGCATGTTATTCAATATTCTAGTGGATAGGGTGTTGAATCGGAACTTCTCAATTTTCGAACTCTTTCCTCTTTCTTAATAATAATAATTATTATTGTTTTTAAAGTGTAATGTGGGACATGTCATGCATTTTAAGGGAAAAGAATCCGATCTTCGTCGGATCCTTTTCCTAGAGATCCTAGTGATTCTATGATCGTGACCGTTCATAGTACATTGTGCAGTTAGAAATTATTTCAAAATTTAAAATTTAAAATTAAATATAAATAGTATTTAATAAAAACTGATCGCACGATGTACGATGAACAATCACGATCACCAAAACTCCTAAGATCCGTAGAAAAAAGATCTGGCGCGGATCCTTTTCCCATTTTAAGTGAGCATTAGATGCCTGTGATGTGATGGTATGGTACCTAATTGTGGATCCATCCTTTGAAATATCTCCCATCTGGCCGACCTGAAGGATTTCAAGAAATTGCACGATCATCCAAATGTGTGGGGACCACATGGTGGTGGGCCCCCACAATCATTTCAGTTTTTGACTATCAGAGGCATTTTCCAGCTGCCTTGCGGAGTTTTCATGGGCTCAGATCTGATCCACAAAATCACAATCCAAAAATTGGATTGCTATTGCCCGGCACAACTCAAAGAACCCAAAAAAGGAGGACCTAACTTACGCTCCGAGTACGCCACTGTGACATTCTAAACGAGTAATAGGATTCCATGTGAAGAATCACACTGTTAACACTAAACAATACCCGCTACAATCCGGTTATTGTATATCAATGAACTTTTGTCGACACAAGAAAGAACCAAGTCAAGAGGATACGGGTCAACTCCTTGCGCCAAAGATTTTGCCATTTCCGAAAAAACTAAATTTCTTATGTCTTGTAGTGTTTACTCGTTTCAGATTCCACAGTGACGTATTGCCTCTCTCCCAAAAAAATACAAAGAAGAAATGTATTATTCAAACAAAACAAAAGATAAATGTCTACATGCTACAACATGAACATTGCATATATGCTGATAAGTATCAATGCAGAAGCAGATAATATTTGCACAAGTAAACCCATATTTTAACCAGCATATGTCATAATGTACACTTAAAACCACATTTAACCTTCTCTGCTCTCACTAGTCCTCACCACACTGCACGCACATCGCGTATGCACAGCCCCCAAATCTATCCTAATGCAAAAAAATTGAACTGCATTTGATGAAATTCTTGAAATCAGGACCTAAGAAGTCCCATTTTTCAATCTGATGGAGGAGCGAAGTGTGTTTGCTCACTGTAACCCCCCATGTAAATAAAACACTTTAGAAGCCATGAACCAAGTATTTGGCAATAAAATGCTTTTATGTCTATGACTGTATTAACCCTGAAAACCACGGTAAAGAACAGAACCATTTTAACCTAGTCTTTATGTAGGAAGAGATATGTTGGACATAGTAAAGAAATTCACATCACAGAAAGCGTCAGCAATCATACAAATCACGAACTTACAAAGACACCTCTCAGAATACTCAGAGCATGATGCCAGAGTTACTTCTTGATTTGAGGTTATTGCGAAAGCATTATATCTGATGTTGACAACGTTCCTGACTGATCAACATCAAGATCTTCAAACTCCTCCATTACAAGTCTAATATCTTCCTGGCTAATCTTCCCCATCTCTTTGAGCTTGTATATGACAAATTCAGCAGCCCTATGTAAAAGGAAAGAGGAGGAAGCACGTCGAAATTTGGTTATTAAACCATCTCAGCAGATAAGAATTCAGAAATAATAATCCCATAATACACAAACGTTTTTGAAGAAAAATTTCACGTACCCAACAGAGCCATCATCGTCAAGATCAGCTGCCTCCAAATCTACGTTGGCCATCCTACGAGTAAGAATCAACTTTACTAATGCCCGTTGTCTGCTCTGGGCATTTAGCTCGGCAATGTAGAGGAAAAACTGAGCTAAACAAATGGTACCTGTCAATATCCAGAATACTGCAAAAACACGCCCTGCTTGAGTCGAAAAGCTCTTATCTCCATATCCCAGAGTTGTGATGGTACTATTAAAAATGGATTGAATATTTTCTCTCACACCACCTGCTGCAATAGCAGCAGATATTTATATACATCATATTACACACGCATGCAATAAAGAAATATATTGGAAGAGGCATCTTTGCTGTCCACAATGCTGCAGTCCATGTGAAGACCCTTGCTGTCCACGATGCACTGTGAGTGGAGCATCTTCGACAGAAGAAAATGGCTCCCATTAGAATAAGCCATTAGAATAATCTTCTCATAATCTTTCAACAGACTTCATCTAACAGCCCCCCGCAAGCTAACAGGGGGTGGTACAACTAGGAGCTTGGAGATAAGGAACTGAAATCTGGACGAAGACAATCCTTTAGTGAAAATGTCAGCAAGTTGGTCCTGGGAACACACATAATTGACCAACAACTGACCACGAACAACCTTCTCACGAACATAATGATAGTCAACCTCAAGATGCTTTGTTCTCGAATGAAAAACCGGATTGGACGCAAGGGCAATTGAAGAAACATTGTCACACCAAATGGTTGGTTGAACCAGATGGAGATGGAGATCTTTATAAAGAGACCTTAACCATGATAACTCTGCTGCAGTATAAGCTAACTGCCTATACTCTGCCTCTGCACTCGACCTCGATACTGTCTTTTGCTTTTTTGAACTCCAGGATACAAGGTTGGAACCCAAATAAACACAGAAACCACCTGTGGAGTGACGAGTATCGGGGTTGCCAGCATAATCTGCATCAGAAAAAGCTGTCAACTTCGCAGTTCCTGGTTTATACAATAGCCCATGATTATACGTAGCCTTCAGATACCGTAGGATTCTCTTTACAGCCATCCAGTGCGTTGTTTTTGGAGAGTGCATGAACTGGCACACTTGATTCACAGCGTATGATAAATCAGGCCGAGTTATCGTAAGATACTGTAGTGCCCCAACAACACTACGATACATCTCTGGATTGGCAAAAAGATCTCCAGCATAGGCACTCAACTTCTGACCAGACGGCACTGGAGTGGAAATGGGCTTTGCGTCTGTGAATTTAGTTCGAGTTAGTAGGTCCAAAGCATATTTGGACTGACAGAGATGCATGAAATCACCATTATACTTGACCTCAATACCCAGGAAATAACTTAGTGGTCCCAAATCCTTCATTGAAAACAAACTACCAAGTTTCTTAATCAAATGATCCATCTGGCGAGGACTATTCCCTGTGAGGAGAATGTCATCGACATAGATTAAAAGAATGAGATATACACCCCGTTGATTAAACACAAACAAACTGTAATCACATGTGGACTCCTCAAAGCCCAGTTGAAGCAAGAAATCTGAGAAGCGTTGGAACCAAGCCCTAGGTGCTTGTTTTAAACCATAAATAGAACGTTGCAGCTGACAAACATGATTTGGAAACTGTTTGTCAATGAACCCTGATGGTTGCCGCATGTAAACATGTTCATTTAAGTAGCCATGCAAGAACGCATTTGATACATCCAGTTGGCGTACAGGCCACTTCTTTGACACAGCAAGACTTAAGACAAAACGAATGGTGCTGTGTTTAACCACAGGACTGAAAGTCTCAGTGTAATCCACGCCAGCCTTCTGATGAAAACCATTAGCCACTAACCGAGCTTTATGACGCTCAACAGTGCCATCTGCTTTGCGCTTAATTTTGAACACCCATTTATTTGGCAGTACGTTCATGTCAGATTGATGTGGAACTAAACTCCACGTGCCACACCTTTGTAATGCATTAAATTCTTGCACCATAGCTTCCCTCCACTCATGATGCTTGTGAAGGAAGATTTTGTGAAAACATGTTCATTTAAGCAACATCATATAGCATGCAATTAACAATTAAAGGCGGAATCATGCTAGCATGCACTTAAAAACAAAACATTAACCAAGAAATTCAAAGCCTAGTAGATTGGTGAATCATTAATCAACTCAAAACAAAGTGAGTTGAGATTTATACCTTTGTAGATTCCTCTTTGCATAAGCAAAGGCTAATCACCCAAAGAGAGGGCCTTCATTCCTTGCATCTTAAATCTATATTTTTGGATGGAAGAATAGGTTTCTCCAAGTTCCCAAAGTAGGGAACCTCTAAGTCTCTTCACCAAGGAGAGATTGGAGAAGAAATGAGTGACCTTGGAGTAGTGGGATTGCAAGATGCACCCCCAAGGGGCCGGCCTCCTAGAGAGAAAATGGAGAGACAAGTTCTCACCAATTTTCTCTAAAAGAAACCCTAAATGAATTTTGGCTATAAAGTCATATTTATACCTTTATTCATTTGAGTGGCAAACTTGTAATTAAAGCAAGTTCACTACCCTTCCTCTAAATGGCCGGCCATGGGGTGTTGTTTGGGCTTTTGGGTCTTAGTGAATCATTATTCATTAAGTTGTCATACAACTTAAGTCAATGGGCTTGACGTTCGAAGCCCATTGGGCCTTAATGTCCAAAACCTATCCTGAGGTCTTTAACGAACTTATTCGTTTGATTAATTAACATATTAATTAATCCTTGCCATAAATAAATGATTAAACCATTTAATCATTCTTACTCATCTCCGTTTAATCTCCAATCTCCACCTCTTATGGTGTGCGATCCATTAGGTTCCTTTTAGCGAGGCAGTGGGCGATTAAACCATTTCAAATCGATTGTGAATTGAAACTTACTTTCAATTCTCCCTTTAGTGATTATACACGTTTAGGGCTTCCACAAACCATGAGTGACACCTTGCAGCATATCATGATTACCCAAGCTAATCAGAAGAGGTAGAGAAAACCTATTCAGTTTGGGATTACAAATGCAATACGGTCTTTCTCTAATACAATACTCTTGACCACATTATTTGGTTTGATAGTTTATTTATTCATGTCTACTATCCAATGTGATTCGTGTGCTTATATGATTTCTTTGAATGTGATTTGGAACGCATTCCTAAATCTCATTCATACTCTGGTCAGAGATTCTAAATCATATCATAGAGTATTCTCCCTCAAACAGTTTGAAGGTTAGAGATCCCTTGTTGCGCATTCACTTGCCTCCATGACTAAGTGGCTTAACCCCAACGATGCCGTGGACACTCCAATGGAATGACGTTTGACATAATCAAAGATCAAGGACTTAACCACAAGACAACTGTGATGCCTCAGGTCAAAGGACTACTTTGCATTATCCCAACCATGAGTTCTCATGTGACATGAGTATGAGAACTCTTCGTTGATCGCGTTCAGTGAACTCATTCTCTACTGAGCACCTACGTACTTGTCTTGATGTCACACACACAAATGACTCGAGACTAGTCACTCTCCTGAGAGAAGACATAGCACGTACCGATCTTGACGGACTGTCAATGCCCAATTGGCAATCCTATGATCAGGAACATTTAGGATGTGTCTACGAAAGAATGGTCTCATGATTCTAACTTCATTAGATTACATTCTCCCAATCACATATTCCTTGGATTTTATCGTTTAAGCATATAACGTTTATATGAGACGGCTCAAACAATAATCTTTGCCCTTTATAGTTAAACTAGATTAGTTTAACATGTAAATGTCCGTAAAGTATCATCATATGATTGGCTTTAGGGCACATTTCCAACAGCTTGACTGCCTGACTGAAGCAAGTTGGTTCAACAGGAATATCTTTAATGGTAACATGCATAGCATACTTTGGATTTGGTTTGACAACTCCAGACTTGGAACGTGTAGTCATAGAGTGGCCAGTATCACTAGACACATTAGCTGGCAAAGATTGTGAATTGACTAACACTTGCTCATGTGATTGTAGTGTGGGTCCTAAGGAATGGTTAGATGGTAATGGTATTGGGGGTGGAGATGTTAGATCAGGAGAGGAAGAGATATGTGGCGTGATGGAAGTATCAAGAGAGGACTGGGCACTATGGGTATTGGGTGTAGTAGGACACACGGGAACAGTTGTGGTTAAGGGAAAAGTAAATAATAATTGGGGTAAAAGATTGTTACCTTGTGATGCAACGCTTTCAGGAGGAGATGTGAGTCCCTTAAAAGGGAAAAAATCCTCATTGAATAGGACATGGCGAGACAAGTAAACTCGTCTTGTGGACAGATCCAAACATTTGTATCCTTGATGATCAAGAGAATACCCAAGAAAGACACATGACTTGGATTTTTGTTGTAATTTATTTTGATTATATGGTGTTAACCAAGGAAAACAACGACAACCAAAAACTTTTAACATGGCATAATTTGGTTTTCTTTGAAACAATTTCTCAAAAGGAGATATGTTTGATAGTACACGAGTTGGCAGACGGTTTATCAAGTATGTAGCAGTTAAGCATGCATCAAACCAAAACTTATTAGGCATATGAGATTGAGAAAGCATAACAATACTGGTTTCGACAATGTGTCGGTGTTTCCGTTATGCCAATCCATTTTGTTCAGGATGTTTTGGACAAGAAAAACGTTGAGAAATTCCATGAACGCCAAGAAAATTTTGAAAGGCATGACTTTTATATTCACCACCTTCATCACATTGAAGGGTTTTAATTGAACAATTAAACATCTTTTCAACCTTAACTTTAAACTTTACAAATATGTCAAAAACTTCAGATTTTTGTTTCATGGGAAAGATCCAAGAATATCGGGAATAATCATCCACAAACAACAGGTAATAACGAAAACCTTCATTAGAAATAATTGGAGAACACCACACATCAGAATGTAAAAGTTGCAAAGGAAATTGAGAGACAGACTCAGACTTACTGAAAGGTAACCTAGTACTCTTTCCTAAAGGACATGACTCACAAAAGATGACATTAGATGTACCATGAATTGGTACAAATTTATTTGAAATTAAAAACTTGATTATTGGTTTGGCAGGGTGACCAAGACGAGCATGCCACTTTTGAACAGACACCCTAACGCCCACAAACGCAGAAACTGGATACTTGAGTTGACCACTGCCATTTGGAAATGGGTATAACCCATTCTCACATCTCCCTCGGAAAAGCGTCTTCCGTGTCTTGAGGTCCTTAACAAGGAAAAAATGTGGAAAGATTAGTAAATAACAGTCATTGTCTAAGGTGAACCTATGGGCGGAGATGATATTGGTAGAAGCAGTAGGGCAATGAAGGATATCTTGTAAAGCAAATGAGCAAGCAGTAGTATTAAGTTGAGTTGAACCACAATGTGCAATAGAAATTCCAGAAGTATTACCTATACCTCCCACACCATCTTTACCAGTATAGTCTTTAGGATTTACCAAATTCTGAAGGTCTGGAGTAATATGTGCGTTGGCACCTATGTCCAGGAGCCAAGTTCCATTTTGCTGCTTGTTGATGGGGATGGTGGAGGACGTCATTGCCGAGAGACGTTGGGCAGGGATTCGGCCTTCAAAAGCAGTATTCATGCGGTGGTAGCAGTCAAGAGCGGGATGTCTAGGTTTGCCGCAGATTTGGCAAACAATGCGATCACCATATGAAGCCGATCTTTCAATATTACCTGAAGGATTGCGCTGATAATTATTATTGCGTGGGTTGTAGCTTCTTTGAGCACCACGGGTGGATGGAGAGGTGCCTCGTCCATTTCCACGAGAGCAGCCTCCACCACGACCTCTAGACGCAATGAAGGCATTGACAGTAGCACCTTCCACCAAAGGGACAGTTTGGTCCGCCATTCTTCTTTCGGTTGTGAGCAGGAGTGCTTCAAGAGTAGGATACGTGATAGGATTATCACGAGCTTGTGCAGCACTTACTGTCATCTCAAAGGCCGGTCCAAGATTGTTCAACACAATCTGCACGAGCTCATCATCACTCACAGGATGCCCAGCTAGGGCAAGGTTATCAGCTATCGCATTCATGCGATCCAGGTAATCCGCCACAGATAGATCACCTTTCTTGGTCTGCAACAACTCATTTCTCAAAAACAAAATTCTATTTTGAGAAGTAGAGGCATACCTTTGCTCAAGAGCTTCCCAGGTTGCTCGAGCAGTTCGTTTGCTTGCCATCACAAACAAGACAGAGGCAGTTAGAGAACCATTTATCCAACTGAGGATCATTTGATCCTGTTGTACCCAGGCAGTGTACGATGGGTTCAGAGTGGTTGCACCAGTCACATTCTTTGGAGGACACACCAGCGTGCCATCAACATATCCCATCAGGTCCCTACTTTTTAGGATAGGGAGTATTTGAGCCAACCACAGTGGGTAGTTGGTTCTATCAAGTTTGATATTAACAACAGTGGAAAACGGATGAAAAGAGTTGTTTGGGAGGGTGGAGGAACTAGCGGGAACATTGTTTTCAGCCATGGAAGCGAGGATGGGAAGGATAGGAAACTAGGATCGTTGTCGTTAGACAAAAAAAGCTCTAGAAACCATATTAAAAATGGATTGAATATTTTCTCTCACACCACCTGCTGCAATAGCAGCAGATATTTATATACATCATATTACACACGCATGCAATAAAGAAATATATTGGAAGAGGCATCTTTGCTGTCCACAATGCTGCAGTCCATGTGAAGACCCTTGCTGTCCACGATGCACTGTGAGTGGAGCATCTTCGACAGAAGAAAATGGCTCCCATTAGAATAAGCCATTAGAATAATCTTCTCATAATCTTTTCAACAGACTTCATCTAACAGGTACAACAAACGCAATAGAATGCATCCACAAGGCTCAATTTCTCAACAATAGCTAGGAAGATTGTGCCACCAATTATGAGCAGCAAAAGAAGGATAAAGATCACAATACATTTGTACCTCAGACTGTTAGTCTCAATATCTTTAAGAATTTCAAAATGCCCAACTTTTTTACTCATATGTAAGGCTTTAACAAGCAATAATTCCTGCTTCTCTACCAAATAGTCAGCTGCTTTGCTCAAGATCATCCCAACGAGAGCCATTCCTGAAAAGACGAAAGCACAAGCCAGTAGTTTTGAAAGAACACTGTTTGGTACAAGGTCTCCATATCCGACAGTGGTCATTGTCACAATACAGAAATAAACAGCATCAAGAAGTCCATTTGTCTTCTCTCCCTTGAGCTGGTGCCTGACGAGGTAGAAACATAAAGTTCCTATGCCTAAGTAGACAGTCAAGAATGCAGCTACAAAGAGAAAGTTTGGGTGTATATTTCCACAGAAGGATTCAGTACGTGGACCTGAGGCAAAGCCTGCCTCTAACCTTATATACTCTGAAAGAGGAGCACTTCTACAACGGCGAATTCTTCTACCCTTTGGAGCATTCCTTTTATTTGTTTGAGATAAAGGATCTATTAGTCCTGAAACCAAGGATCTACTCTCATTCGAGGCCATTACGATGATTCAGAAAACTAGAAGACCTGCATAGGAATATGTAGCTAGACACTTTTAGCCAAGTCGTGACAGATGTACCTCCATTCGACAACAGTTTTCGACATTTCAAGTTTCAATCTTTAAACAATTAGCTTATAAAGGAAATATGAAACCCTTAAATCACAATCCACCAATTCCTCTGATCATATTTTATTTGGTAAAGAATGCACAAAGGATCAAGCTTATAAGTAAGTGTACTGATAGAAACAAACTCAGTAGTTGCAGTGCAGTGAAATGAAAACCTTAAGCTGGGGGTTAATTTCAGATCAACTGAAATAACTACTGCAGGCTCCAGTGGTGGAATCAGGATTTTATTTTTCCTGGAGAGTCAACGTGTGAAAGCTCTCAAATGTTTTTCTATATTACACGCAATGTCACAGGCTCCAAGATTACAGATGCTTTTGAGTGCTTCTGTTGTTTGCACACCATATAACCTATATAAGCAAGTAATAAGGAGTATTTTCTTGTTAAAGATTTCATACGCAATAATTTTTAACACATTGTGTTAATTAAACACAAACTTTGGTTTAATTTGGTTTACATGTGCATGTTTTTTTTTTTTTTTTTACCATGATAATGCCCTAGTAGAAGTGGGCAGTAGCTTTAAAAATGACAGAGTCAAATTTGATGACGGATGACGGATGATGGATGTTCAAAATAAAGATGATTAAATTTTTCTTTCTGAAATGTTGGTAATTGTTGCAGTGCCTAAGAAATAAAACCTAGCTGGTTTTTAGTTTATATTTCTATGAGCGGTAGGTCTCGGGTTCGAGACTTGGGAGCAGCCTCTCCATAAATGGGGGTAAGGCTAGCCGACATTCACCTCTCCTAAATCCTACGTAAAGCGGGAGCCTTGTGCACTGGGTACGACCTTTTTTTATTTCTATGAAGACAGACCCGACTTGATTACGAAGAAGTTGCTACCGCAGATCAGGCGGGACTGGAAGCCTTATAACAATGAAGTTTGAACCAAGTTAGCATAGGTGTTATATAATGGAAGATTTTCTCAGAAACCAAGCTCTATTTGCTAGTTTTGTACAAATACTTCCTCCGACACTGAATTCTAAATTTCTGACATTAAACTATTAGATTAGTATTTCCTCCTCACCACCCCCCACCCCCTCCCTTTTCTCTCTCTCTCTCTCTCTCTCTCTCACAGATTTCTCAGTCCCCCATACCAAAACTATTAGATTAGTCTCTTCCATGTCATATGTAGCACTACTACTGCTCTTGTTGATCTGACTTTCCATATATACTCAACATTCTCGCTCATATGTACTTCGATTCGGGCCACCTTGTGTATCACAAGGTAGTGGCACAACACACAACACACACAGGGCAGCAGCACAGTGTAGAAGCGCAAGTGAAATGAAAACAACTAGGGATTTATTTCAATGACCTATATTCTAACTGCTGTAATGAAACAAACAAACAAACAAAATCAGTAGTACAAGCGCAAATGAAATGAAAACAACCTTAATCAACCTGAGGAATGAGGATTGCTTTCGGATTAACTGAAATAACTAACTTAACAGAATGATCACGCACGCACACTCTCTCTAGAATCCGAACATGGAAAAACACAACCACCAGCAAACAAAACAGAAAACTGACCAGAATAAGCATGTCGGGATTTTGGTTTCCTCAGTCGAGCCAACTCAGACTTCTTGGAAAAGTCCGGAACATCTCAATCGCTAGTCTTAAGTCCCATTACTGTACTTTTTTATTTTTTATTTTTGGAAAGAGGAGGTTGTGCGAATGCGTGCTCTCACCGACAAGCACAATTCTGATCTGATCCAAGTGGATGAATTGTTGGATCAATACGAGATCCAAAACGTCCGACGTCAAACCCTTTGCTGTGTTTGATCCGTGTGCGTCGTGTACGACGTGCGCCACAACGTGCGCCTCAGCAGCATTGCGATCTATGGCTCGAGAGATTTTTGATGTGCTGGACAAACGATTCAGCAGGCAAGTGTCATTAGCAAGGTTCTAAAAGTGCCAATCGAGCAACGGGCCGGGCCAGGACCTATGCCATTTGATGAATTTAAGTTAATCTATTATATTTCATGTAAATAAGTATCTGAATATACTTTAAATATATATAATTTATTCATAAACTATAAAATAGAATGATATAATATATTATGAAGTATTGGAACATAACAAAAACATGGGGAATAAGGATATAATATGTGTTCATTTAAGTATGTAACAAGTCTCTTACAATTTATTAAAAAAAAATGCAAAATGAAAGTTATCTATTTTGTGTTTTAACTGAGTCGCGACCTGAGCGGGTCTGGGCAAGCTAGGCAGGTGCCTAGGCGGTCTAGGCGCCCCTTTCTTAATTTTCAAATGCCTAGGCATTAATCGGGATGGTAGCCAGGCGCCTAGCGCCTAGGCAGGGATTTTTATAACAGTGGTCATTAGAGCATTTTTAATAGGATACTGAAGGAAGTCTAGTCTCTAGAGTCTAAATAGAGGGACAAAAGGCGTTTAATGGCCCAAAGTAAGAGTTCTCAAAGTTCTTAATATATAGGGATTCGTCGGATCTTTTAAAGAAACCAAGAAACCATCAAATGTGAGGAATGTATATAAGGACTTGAAGAATGAACCCACTGTTGATTTTGAGTGTAAAATAAACCTCACTCATGTGGAAATGTTGCACATCAACTTCTCTTTTTTGGTTTTTTTCCTTGTTTTTTTGAACCCATATACGTGAATGCTTGTTGCAGCTTCCCTTATTTTTGAAACGTTCGGAAATCAAGTAGAGACAACTTTTTAGTTTTTTCAATGGCCATACTCCAACAAAATGAACAATGATTTTTTAATATTTTAGTCCTAAGATTTAGGGATATATTATAAGGATCTCCCATTGCAGACAACATTCCTTTATGAATCCGAATATTCCTGCTTTACTACAGGTGGTTGGATATTACAAAAAAAATTCAACCACATGTATAAAACACTTGGTGTACCGTGCATCGTTTCCAGCACATAGAAAAAATTTCTTTGATATCTGTTTGGACCCGATTTTACATTACCGGCCCAAGTAATTGAGGCCGTTGGATGAGCGGATTCTAGACTATTGAATTTTAATATTTTTCTAGGTATTAATACTGAATTTGGGCGATCTCCAAGAAATCAAGAGTTTAAAACAGAAGAGTCCAGCTTGAGATTGAGATTGGTATCATGCATGTACGTGAAGGATTGGAAGACTATCTCCCATGCATTTATGCAAATATAATGGAGATAAAGATGGGATTAGATTATCATTAGCCAATAAAGGTGCTTGGATAAAGGTGCTGTTTATTTTGAACTCAGGCACGGGAAAATATGGGATAAAAGATGGCATATGCCATTTTATCCCATGTGATCTTACCTGATGACTCGGTAATTGTTGATTGGGATAAAGATGGCTGTGGCTTATCATCAGAGATGGTGGGATGTCCACGACTTTAATTCTCCAGCACGGCTAAGAGTTTTGATGCTATAAATACGAGAGCGCAAGCAACATCAAGGGGCCTCCAATTCAACACACAAAACTGCCCTGCGCAAACTCTCTCAACAACTTTGAGATTTTTTATTTTCTCTTTTCGCTTACACATCTTCCGTTGGCATCAACAGCACTGTGAAAGCAACCGGTGATATCTTAAGTCGGCATAGATAGCTCTGTCACCGTAGAATCAGCCGTTCTCGCAGCATCTTCCTTTGGCATCAACAGCACTGCGGCGAGGACAGTTGATTACCTATCCAAGTCTCGGTCGAGAAGGATTTCTGAATCCTTATTGGTCGAGGTCATCTCATCAGCCTTCTCGGCAAAGTGAGGTGTTACAATTATTACATTCGGCACATTGAAAGCCGAATTTGATATTGAACTTCGTAAGAATAGTAACCTTGTCTTCAGGTTCGAGAGCCCAAGAGGCCGAGACGTGTTCCTTTCTCGGCCGCAATCGCAAGACGCAGAAGTCAGCCGCGCACCCAACGCAACATCAAAAAATTTACTCCTCGGCCGAGCTCGGCCGACGAGTTGGCACGCCCCGCATTTACCGAAGGACGTAGTTAGCTTATAGATTACTCGGCCTGCGCGCTACGTAGGCTTGGTAGTTTCTAGGGTCAACAATATCTCAAGCTAACGTGGAAACGAAAATATTGTTTACTTCTTAGCAAATTGAGCATCGCGATATGTTATTCCAAAGTATTATTTAGTAAAATTAAGGCGCTTGGGATACTCCTTGGCACTTTAAATCAATTGTGAAGAATATTAGAAGGCTGGCCTCTGAATTTCTTTGCATAAGATGGAACTACATTTTCAAGAAAGCAAACTTTGTGGCTGATGTTTTACCTCACTTTGGCCTTACAGTAACAAACTCATATTTCTGGGAGTATTGTTTACCAAATTCAGCTATGGAGGCCTTCAAATTTGATTGGGTTGGCATGGGTTCGGATTGGGCGGGATTGACACTTAAATCGTAAGCCGACTCATGATGGTTGGGCCATCATTTGACCAACTTGCCACCTAACCCAATATGTTTTCAGGTGGGTTAGTGTTACGACTTGCTAGTGGGCCTCACACCTCTCTTTAAGCACATGCCCTTTTTGTGAATAAATGCTTGGTCCCATCTTTTAAGCCCATTATCCTTAGCTAGGGTTTTACTCTTTTGTTGGGGTATAAATGTGTAATGATCAGCCCTTTAGGGACACAAGATGAATGAATGAAATATCTTTTTCCATTTGCCTCAAATTCTTGCCTTATTCTCCTTAACTTTCCTGCACTGTTTACAATTCTTTCATTTTCAACTTTTGATCCGATTGGGCGTACTAATTGGCATCAGAGCCTAGCGACCCATGGGTAAAAACACCCATTCCCCGAGCTCTGACCCCGACGCCATAGCCGCTGCAGTTGATGTTCGTCATGAGTATCTTCGCCACCAGGTAGAAGATGTCTGTGACTTATTTTCTTC